TCTGGGGTGCTACTCTGAAAACTGGAGGGACTCAGCTAAGCATCCCTTGTGCCAGCATCAAGGTAAGACCCAGATAGCTCTGCCTCCAGCATCTGGAGGTAGAAAGTCTTTTTGGTCTCAAATTTGCTGTATTTGGAGGGAATGCTCCTCCTGAAAGCAGGATGTGGCCAGGCTGGATCTGCCCTGTCCCCAGAGGGGTTGAAGCATGGGGTGATGTCACATGGGGCCACCAGAGCATCAGCGCCTGGCACAGGGTTCGGAGGGGGCAGAGAGGATAAGGCAGCCCCTGCGTGGGGCACGTGTGTGCACGCGTGTCCATGTGTCCCCACTGCCACCCAGTGGTGGCAGAGCACCGGCTGTCACCCAGGAAAGAGCATTTTGTGAGAACAGATGACAGAGAAAGTGAATATTCCTTCCCCCGGAGTGTAGCAAGAGCTGTATCCCAGGTACTGGAGCTTTGAGCTCCAGGAGTGTTGGCCACTGGAGAAGCTGATTTTGCTGGGCTGGTGGTAGTGATGGAGCTCTCAGCTCAGCAGATCAGACAGAGACCCCTCACCTCAAGTCTGGCCTCTCTCTTTCCACCCTGGGGTTACTTAGTGACCTGGGCAACAGCCTCTGGGATCCACACACTGCCTGTGGTCTCAGGAGCTCATTTAGGCTCAGCCTGGGGTTGCTTATCCCTGCTGGAGCAGGGATGCTGCTCTCCAGCCATTACTACTGAGCACAGCCTTATTCCCATCCTATTGCCTCATCCCCACCTCCTTCCTGCTGCTCTGAGCCTCCTGTTGCACCTTCTTCCCTCTTGCTGGGGTGGGATGACATCTCCTGCCCCACCACTGGGTATCCATCCCAGCTCTCCACCCTCTGGCAGAGCAGTTTTTCTTCAGGTATGCAGCCAATACCACTCTATCCTTGGGTTATCAGCCCTGGAGAAGGTTGGAACTCACTGCTCCATCCATGGGAAGCCATGGAGTGACTGGCAGCCATCCCGTGGTAGGAGGCCTCC